CCTTCTCATACAAACCTACAGCAATAGTGTCAGCATGCACAAGACCCATGCAAACTTAGGCAGACAAAAACCCAGCACAGAACTGTGGAAATGAACAGCAGGCCCTAATCTCAGTCGAAGAATTACTGGCAGCTGATTACTGCTGGGTGAGGAAGAACTAATCTTCTTTCTGAAGGGGGAAACTCTAGATACGCTGACTAAACCCTGGTGGATGAACTTGCACTGAGGGACACCTCAGGACACTAACTTTACATAATAAGCCTGAATACAAATGACAGAATTATGAACTCCAGTTGGGGGGCTATGGGAGGGTGCCAAAGGGGAAGGGGGGAGGAGGTTATAAAGATGATTTTATATATGAAATACACAAGAATTCAATTTTAAAAATTTTAAGACATAAAAATTAAATGTAAAAACTCTCCCTTTAATATATATTCATTCTATCAGTGCTGTCCCTCTAGAGAACCCTAACTAATACAGTCTTTCAGGTATTTACCCCTTGGAGGGTACAAGATAGATACATACTATCTTTCTATATTAAATATGACAACTCCATGTGAATCTAAACTTGTCTCAAAATAATAATTACAAAATTCCATTTTCTCAATTCCACATCTCCTGCAGACACCGCCCCTTAAAGGGGTGGTCTACACTGACATCTTAACTGCCTTATCCCATGCTCTTCGGTTCACACACTCGGGGTTTACTCCCACTACCAAGACTGTTCTTGCCAAGGTTACCAGCAGCCTTTGTCTTGTCACATGCAACAGATTTCTCCTCCCATCTTCTTTGGCCTCTCAGCAACACAGAACACCTTCTTCAAACTTTCTGCTCTACTTTCAGGATACAACATGCTCCTGGCATTTCTCCTACCCCTCACAAGCTCCACCACTGCTCCATTACTGGCTCCTATCCCACTGGCCTCCAAAAAGGGAATTCTTTGGCGAGACTGTGGGCTTTTGTCCTTCACCTGAACTCAGATAGTTTCATCCTCTCCAAATAATTGTCAACATGTTCTACATGTCAATGAGTTCAAGTGTCTATCACCATACCCACTGCCCCTCCTGAGCTCTCTCTCTCTCACATGTCCAACATCTCTACTAAGATGAAAATAGTTATCAACAACTTTACAAAGCCAAAACAGAATCCCTGAGTTCCACCATCACCCTGCACTAAAACAAAGTTAGGAAAACACCTTGCTCCCGGTTCTCCTCTCCTTTCCCAGGAGCTCCAACCACACTGTCTCCAGATCTTCTCTTTCCCTCACATAGCGTATCCAATCTATGAGCAAATCTTGTTTGTGTTAAATCAGAATGCAGCCTTCACACCTACTTATCTGAACACTTCTTGCCTGAGATGTGCCTGTAACTAGCATGAGCAAAGCCCTAGTGATATGATCATTTACTGATACATGATCCTGTCATTCCTCTGAACCCTTCTCATATGCCAGGATAAAAATTTAAAACCTCATTACTTTTCAAATAACTCCTGGATAACCACTTCAAGTTGAAAAATTTGATTCAGTAATCAAAAGTGTCTATTCCCGCCGGGCATGGTGGTACATACCTTTAATCCCAGCACTCAGGAGGCAGAGACAGGTGGATCTCCGTGAGTTCAAGGCCAGCTTGGTCTACACAGTGAGTTCCAGGACAGCTGGGGCTACAGGGAGACCCTGTCTCAAAAAGACAAAATAAAAAAAGTGTCTATTCCCAACTGGTAACAACTTGTCTAACATATTTCTTGCCAACAGCTGATGGCCACAGCTGGCACAATCAGTGGGAAAAGCAGACACCCTCATTGTTCTTCCACACCAGCATTATTGCTCTTTTCTCAGCCTCCTGTTGTGGGTGTTAATCCAATACTGTCAAAGCAGGGAAGGGAGGGTGGGACAGGACACCTTGTCCAAGTAGTGCTGTCCTGAGACTATCATCTCTCTGTTCTGTCAGGAAAGTACTAATGACTATCCCTCACAAGGCACTCCTATGAACTCTTCTAGAGTCCTGTCTGAGTCCACATACTTTCCAAAACAAAGGCAAGTCATTTCCCCACAGGCTGAACAACCCCCTTCCCTATCTACTACCACCAACTCCTCAGTAATCCCTGCTGAGAAGCATTGCTGCTCTTGTGGCCACTCTCCCAACTGTAGCTGATGTGAGAAACACAGCCTCCTCTGCTACCATGTTCAGTAAACTCCATCTGCCTCTGTCCACCCCAGGAGCAGGCCAGTGGGTTCTGCCCACACAATAACCCAGACTCTGCCACTCAAAGGAGCATTTGTCTTAGGAGTCCATGCCTGGTCAGGAGATAAACAGCAGGCTGTCTCCAGAAAGTCCTCTTCAAAACCCTATCCAAGCTCCAAGAGCCAACCTATGTGGAGTGGGTGGGAGGAGAGTGAATCACCCTGGTTCTTGGCCACCTGCTCTGGTCTTATGTGTCACCACCACAACCTGGTACCTCAGCATTTCTATGTTTTATTTCTGGACCCCAAAAGGCCCCAGCACTCTCTAACTAGACACACTGTGTTCCTCAACCTCCTCTGTTTGCTTAATAATGCTTGCTATCACCTGGTTCTCATGTGCTAAATGCTGCCTGTGTTCCACTATACAAGTGCTCTGTGCCTAGTGGGTCCCACTGAAATATGCACTAGATGAAACCTCTGTGGCCTCTCTGGCCATGCCTCCTGCCTAGAGTGTGGCTGCTGACCATTCTAATCCTAGACAGGCAGAGGCATTTGCATCACTGTGGCCATTGGCTAAACTCCAGTGGGTTCTGAGGGCTGTATAGATTTGGTCACATGGCCCTTCATTTGCATGATGCTGACAGGAATGTGGCCAGCAGAGAGCTATTTTTAGGGTCTGTCTTGGTGGCAATTGTTCTATGACTGGCAGAAGAGAACAGCAAAGTCCCCATCCCTGCCTTTGTCCCTGTTCCTTATTCTCTACATCAGTCCATTATCAGACATTTAACTAAGGAAGAATCTGGTTCAAAAGACCTTAGCCAGTTTTCCTTAACTCTTCATTTATCTGCTCAAACTTGATAGATCAGCCCAACAAAGCATTTGCTTAGCACCTCCCATATGCCTAGTCCTGAGATCACCTAGGTTCCCATGAACCCATGGGGGAGGCACAGTGCCAAAGGTCTCAGTTTCTCCCTTTCCTCTTGTCCACTAGTACTCAGACATAGCGGATAGAGGCCATGGAAAAAGGCATAGGGCTCCAGAGACATGTGGCCCATGCCTCACTCTCAACACACAGATGACAACACCTTGGTCCCCAATTCTCCAAATTCCTAATACCCAAACAGAACACAACCTCTGCCCATCCAAAACCAAGGGCCACTAGTCATACCTTCCCAGACTCCTGGTTCCACTGTACCTTCACCTTCATTCTCTATTTTCCAAAGTACTGAGGTACTCTTACTTGGTCTTGTTCTCTGATAAGACAGCTCACAGGACTCTGGGATAGGATGGGGAGGGAGCAAGGTAGTCTTCTTACAAAAAGATTGAGATTTGCTCAAGACACAGTTATAGAACCACCAAGAAGAGCCTCAGGTAGGCGATAAAGGAATGAGATGGGTCACTAACCCCCCCTCCAATGGCCTTATTTTGGACTTTCATCATGACCACCAAACTCAGACTGCCTGAGACAGGCTGGAATCCTAAAAAGAGTGAGGAGAAAGAAGATTTAACAGTACTAGACAGACAAGGTACAAAGAAAACAAAGGTACAAAACACAAGTTCCCAAGCAGTCCCAGCATGATAGGACTGAGGCGGTGCCTGGGCCTTAATTCAATGCAGCCCTAATCCTACTCTACAACATCTTTATTAGGCAACCTTCAGATCTCACTGGCCCTTGACTCCATTTGGAAAATTCCAACAGGTACGGTATGGTTAATAGCAGGCTGCCTGCAGATCTAGGGCCTAGGCAAATCAGTCAGCTTCTCTGTAACCCATTTTGATCATCCATATGCATTAACAGGGATATAGCACATAGGCCTAATGGGTGGCAGGCTCACAATATCAGCCACTGGTGCTGCTGCTGCCATCACCATGGGCAACAGCAGCATCTTCTCTGCAATTCCCTCCTCTGACCTCCACAATCAGCCCTCAGTCTCACCTTCATAAAGAAGACTCCAGGCCAGGTGTGGTAGCCCACATCCTTAATCCCAGCACAGGGTAGGCAGAGGCTGGTGGCTCTCTGTGAGTTCAAGACCAGCCTGGTCTACATAGCAAGTTCCAGGTTAGCTGGGACTACAGGAAAACCTTGTCTCAAAAAAGATTAAAAAAAAAAAAACTCCAGGAGCACCTAGGTCAAGAATATGAGATGACACTGACCACAGGACTTTGATAGAACAACTAGATAAAGGGCCCTATGTTTTACCCTTCAGAAGGGGAACAGGCTGGGGACTGGGAAAGAACTCTCCAAATGAGATTCCCAGAGCACCATCCTGGGAGCTCTAAACCTCACTACTAGGTCCAGGGCCAAGATACAACTCACATTGTAGAGGATGTCAGTCCAGCCCTCCATGGTGATACACTGGAAGACTGTCAAGATGGCAAACAGGATGTTGTCAAAGTTGGTGATACCAAAGTTGGGTCCTGGCCAGTACTCCCGGCATTCAGTGTCACCTTCGCACAATCTGGCTGGAGCCTCCTTGCCACAGGGGAAGTCACCCACAGGCTCTGTATCTATGAGGAAGAGAGTGAAGCAAGCTAAGTTCTCCAGGTCCACTGGGAAGGCTGAGTCTGGAGAACCTGCTGCACCCTGAACCTCCACCATCTCCCCACCCCTCCTCATACCTGTACCAGATCGCTCAACTGCCTCCACCTCAGCCCAGGATCCACCCTCTCTGGAGCTCCTTGCTCACCTCTCCCTCTCTCCAGGAACCTGCCCATTATCATTCAAATATGCTCAGGATTCCTTCATCCTGAAATCAAAACCAGCAGACACCTACACTCCAATTGTTATTACCACCTGATTTCTCTTCTATCACCCAATCTGGGAGAAAAGGGAGACTAATAAATGATAAGCCTGATAAATGATTATAAGGTTTATTTCTCTCTTTCCAAATATCTTGATTAAAGTCTACAGAAAGCTATCATTAGAGCAGAGGGTTTCAGGGAGGTCTTCCTGCTAAGGGTGACACAGGGAGCATGACAGCTGTTTGGCCACCCAACTGGAGCACTTCTACTTGGCATTTTTGCACTTACTCTTCCTGTAACTGAAGTAGATCCCAAGCTATTCTATGTCAAATACATTTGTTTCCTTCCTACAAGTTTTTACAATCTGTTACTTTATTCATGTATCTACTTAATGGTATTTATCAGGATACTAAAATGTAAGCCTCACTGGTCTAGAAGCTCAAAAGCCCCTCTGGCACTGGGATCCTCATCTGAGGACCCTATAAGACTCACCTGTGCTGTTGGGGAAGCAGGCCTTGTGGAATTTCCCCATATAGAACTCAAGGCCAATGATGGCAAACATGAGGATGGCAAAGAAGAGCAGCAGCCCAATCTGCAGCAGTGGAACCATGGCCTTCATGATCGACTTGAGCACCACCTGCAAGCCTGGAACCAGAGGACAGCACAGGGCAGGTCAGAGGGGAAAAGGGACAGAGTGACAGGAAAGAGACAGAACAGCGAGTGCTTATGTGGGCAGGACAGTCAAAGCATGAAGTCTTAGGGAGAAGTAGGTTGAACAGTGTCTCATAGGAGGGGAAGAGGCAGGACAGGCAACTTCTAAGGGTATGAAGTCCAGGGTGGATTATAATCACTGGTGAGAACATGGATCAAGGACAGTTCAGAGTCTGAAAAGAGCAGAAAATCCTAACAAGAGAATGAACTACAGAAAAGGAGGTGAAGGGTCCTAAGAAGAAAGGCCAGGGAATCTTGGGATAGAGGAACAGAGAGTCCTGGGAAGTAAATTACAGGGCTTCCTCACAGACCCAGCAACTTGGGAAAAGGAAGTAGGCCTGCTATTCTCCAAAACCAGGAAGTGTTTTGCCACTGGCCATAAGACATTAGTGAGTCAGGCCAGAGGAACTAAACAAAGGAGGCTATAATCCCTGGCCCCTCACCCTCCCAATCTGGCTCCAGTTCTTGGACATAAAGCTGAACCCTTGCCTGTTCTGGGAGAAGAGTGAGCTAACCAATGATTTGCCTGTAGTAGGCTCAGTACTGAGACCCTCTCTACATAGGCCCTTAGTAAATCCAAGGCCAAACTTCTACTGGGCTCAGGGAATGGGAGCAAGTATACACACAGGCTTATAAGATTGTTTCCTTCCTACAAGGCCATTCTTGTAGACCATCCTCCTGCCCCTGCTTGTCTCCTTCAGTGACCCAACCGAGAGGCATATCTGATGACTAGTGTCAGTTTCAGTCCACTAAGGCTAAGAAAGGTTGCTCTTTGAAGTCTTGGATATTTTTCCTGCTCTACCACTTTAATTCATTGCTGTTCTTTAACCCCATAAAATGAAGCAAAGAGCCAGAAACACATGTCATGGAAAAACAACAGGACCACTCTGGAATTTTGTGGAGAACGAACTAGAAAAGGCCTGTTCCTTCCTTCCTGCTGCCTGGTTCTATGTTCAAAAGTAGAAAAATAAGTGGTAAGGGTGTATCTAGTAGTAAAGCATATGCTCAGTATGTACAAGGCTCTAGATTCAATCCGCGGCACCATGCCTGCAAAAGAGTGTCCAAAGGGCCCAATGCTTAGGGGGCATGGCTGTGATAAGGAAAGAGGAGGAGTTGGCTTGGGCCTGACTGTCTTGGACTTACTTGGAATCCCAGACACCAGCTTCAGGGGCCTCAGCACACGCACAGCTCTTAGGGTTCGCAGATCAAAGTCAGTTCCTGCTGTGGCAAGAATCCTGGCAAGAAAAAAGGCAACAGAAGTAAGGGTTTCCAAACTGAATCTGGGAAAAAACATTCTCATCCCACCACCTGTGTCCTTTCTCTCAAGAGCAGCAACACATTCGTGCCTGTGTGCCCTCCAAATCCTGAGGTCTGCACAGAAATGCTGACAAGGACTTTATCTACATGCTGTCCCTCCAGTTCAAGGACATTATCTGAGTGGACACTCGGTGTTGACCTGGCAGTGAATCTTCCTCCACCTGAGTCCAAGCCTGAACCATATTCCCAAACAAATCCCAACTGCACTATACACTGCCTCATGAAAGGGTAACAGTGTGTGGGAACAGAGGTAGAATGGACCCTGAGGGAAACCAGAGCAGTATCACCCATCACCCTTCCTAATGTGATCTTAGGAGAATGGAGAATGGAAGGTTAGAAGATAGAATAAAGGGTTCAGAGACTCAGGAAAACATCATGAAGTGATGTCAGCAACAAGGCTAGAGCTGCTTATTGCTCAGTGACTAGTCATTAAACAGTGAGATATTGTGGAATGTAAAAATCCATAACACACTATCAGCAGGAGAGTAAGGCACCTGTATTGTTTCCCCCATTCAAGACCATCTTGGAACCAAGATGAACTTCTTAAAGTGAAAAGGCTAGCTGGAGGGCCCCACTGCTGCTATAGGTGACTGCACAGAAGACTCCCACAGCCCTCACAGGTCCTGTACACAGAGTTCACAATGGTGTTACTGCCAAAGTTAGTAGTACACTCTGTACAAACTCTATGTCACCCAGTGACCTAAACTGAGACATCTCCAGCTTGAAACTGGGCCCACTGCTTCAGTGATTCCCACCCTGGGGTAGCTGCCATGGTGATCCTCCATGGTAAGACTATACCTTTGATTCATCATGCTCACAGAGATAGCTGCAGCATCATAATCCAAAAGCTGCTCAGAGCCTTGACTTAGCAGAAAGACTAAGACCTGGTGTCCAAACTCATATAGCACCCATCTCACAGAGACCAGACCAACTTGCACGGATAGCAAGCTAGCACAATTGGTGGCCCAGGACACCCACATGCACCTGCACCTGACCTGACAGATACAAGGCAGTGACCTTACTCCTCCCTCCAAACATGCAGCTATGTGGCCCACACAATCAAGCCTAGCCCATCAGTCAGCCAGATAGCATTCCTACCAAACTCAGAGCACCTGGTGCACAGTCAGCCCATAGCAATCTCATATACACATGCCCAGCCCAGCAGCCCAACAGTCAGGCAAGAACTCCTTTGCTTCCAGCAATCCCACATCATGACAGACGTGAACACCCTCAAGCCAGGGTCACTGATAAAACTATAGACATTGCTGCTAAAAATTATAGGTGAAGGTGCTGGAGGGATGGCTCAGCAGTTAAGAACACTGGCTACTCTTGTAGAGGACCTGGGTTCAATTCCCAGCATCCACCTGGTGGTTAACAACCATCTGTAACTCTAGTTCCAGAGGATCCAACACCCTCTTCTGACCTCCATGGGCACTGCACAACACAGGTGCACTTATACACATGCAGGCAATACACTCATATACAAAATAATAAACGAAATATTTTAAAATAATTTTTAAAAAGAATCATAGCTGAAGAAACTGCAAAGAAACCACACAATGCTACTTATCCAGAGTCAAGGCTAATATACCAATACCCAACAGAAATCCCTATACCTCATCCATAAGAAAAAAAGAAAGAAAGCTATAAAATTGTACGAGGCAACTATTATATTATATACCAGATACCAACATAGGGATACAAGAAACATAAAAAAGCAAGAGAAGGAGAACTCTGAAAAAACTAAATGAATATACTGTATGATCTGGTTATGCCACTCCTTGGCATCTATCCAAAGGGCTCATCCTACTACAGAGATACTTGTACATCCATGTTTGCTGCTGCTCTTTTCACAATAGCTAAGAAATGAAAACAACCTAAATGTCCCTCAACTGACGAATAGATAGTAGAAATGTGGTACATTTACACAATAGAGTTCTACTCAGCAGTAAAGAGAGATGAACTCATGAACTCTCCATGTAAATGGGTAGAACAAGAAACTGTTATACTAAGTGAAGTAACACAGACTCAGAAAAACAATCGACATATGTTCTCCCTCATCTGTGGATCTTAGCACCAAATCCTTCTATGTGGGTCTATATTCTGATGTAACCACAGAGCCAGGAAAATGGAAAGGAACCATAGAGGTAAAGGGAAAGAAGAAGCCTGAGAACAAGGGATGGTAGGAGACAAGTGTTATCAAAGGTGAAATGAGTAAAATGGTGATATGTAACTGGGAAGGGAGGAGGGAAGGACATATAAAGAATCACGGGGGCAAAGAGGAAGAAGGAGCTCAAGAAAGGGGGGATAATAGGAGACATTATCAAGGTTAGGGGGAGGGAGGAAGGGAGGAGGGGAAAGAGAGAGAATGAATGAATGAATGAATGAATGAATGAGAGACTGAATAAATAAAGTTTAGGTGGTGTGAAAACCCAGAGGGAAATGTATTAGCTCAAAAACCTAATGAAAAATACACATACGCTATCTGAACGTGAGTGCGTGTTTATACCTGAAGGCTATAAAACAAGAAACATAGTGCCAGACAGGAGAAAACCCCTTCAAGTTGTTGGTCAAGGTTGTCCAAGAGACTGTCAAAAAAATAACACAGGCTATTGCCATAGCCCTTGATTGCCTCCCAGAACTTGAATTGCTGAAGACAAGACATACTTCAGACAGAACTTGGAGCAATGGAATTGGAACTGATCTGGAAGCCTCCTCCCTAAAGATGAGCTCTCATAGTTCTAGAGGACACTATGTAAGCTGCTAAAGGAGAAAAATCAATCAATGGTCCAACCCCAGCTTTAAAGCCTAATAATCACAACAATGACCAGCATAACAAACTATTGCAGTGCAGAAGTGGCACTTTTATCTTGGGGGTAATCAACAGTTATCTAAATGGACTTAAAGCCCTGTCAATGGGAGGAAACTCATGGATGGTCCTGTAAACATAGCCAAATACACATGACTGGAGAGGTCATAGATCCTAGAGAAAATTCTATCTCTGCCATATCCCTAGACAAATTTTCTTACTGTATGCTCAATATGGACTCTTATTTACAGACAAGTAAGCCAGTCATCACTCATCAAAGAAGCTTCTTTTTGCAACAGATGGAGGCTGTTACAGAGATCCACAACTGGTCATACACAGAGAATATATGTCTTGAGAGATGCCCAGTCCTAAGTGACTATACATCTATAACGGAACTTCTCTCTACGCCTAAGGCTCAAGGAACATAGCAGAGCAAGGGGCAGAGAGAATACTAATGCATCTCTCAACTCTCACCAGCGAAGCTTCCTCATGCAACAGAGTATCATGCACACAAAGGCCACAATTGGCCAAGGTATAGAGAATAAGAGATTGCAGAGTGCATGTCCCTGGATAGGACTCCTATATTAAACTTCACCTACCCACGGCTCAGGGACCATTGTGGAAGAGGGGGTAGAAAAATTGTAAGAGCCAGGGTTGGTGTATGAACATAAGGAAACAAAGTCTTCCAGGTCTCTGAAACCTGCTCATATGAATTTACAGTAATGGTGACAGCATGCATAAGATCCATGCAGGCTCAATCAGACAAAAAACTCTGGCAAAGAACTGGGGAAATGGGCAGCAGGGTCTAACCTTAGCCAAGGAACTATTAGCAACTGATTACTGCTGGGTAAGAGAGAACTGATCTTCTTTAAGAGAGTGACTCTTGATAGGCTGACTAGACTCCAGTAAAGGAACTTGCACTAAGGGACACCTGGGTACAAAAGCTTGACTTGATAGGCCTTAACATATATGACAGAATGCATGAAATCTGGTGGGGGGGGCAGCACTTAAGGGAGGTACAGATGGGAACAGGGGTCTAAATATGATTAAGATGTACTGTATGAAATATACAAAATTCAATAAAAATATACAGTATAAAAAAGGAAGGGCCAGGGGTGGTGGTGCACACCTTTAACTCCAGCAGACAGGCAGAGACAGGCAGATCTCTGTGAGTTCAAGGCCAATCTGGTCTACATAGCAAATTCCAGCCCAGCTGGGGCTATAGGGTTTAATGAAAGATTAACATAAAAAATCAATAGCATATCTATATATCAATAATAAATTGATTGAAATAAGAATCAAGGGGGCTAGAGAGTTGACTCAATAGTTAAGAGCAGATACTAACTGCTCTTACAGAGAATCCAAGTTTGGTTCCCAGCATCCACTGGTTGGGCAGGTCACAATGACAAGGTCACAACAGCCTGTAACTCCAGCTTCAAGAATTCTATACTTCTGGCCTCTATAAGCAAGTGCACTCACATGCACAAAACCCCACACAGACACACATGCATACACATAAATGTTTTTTTAAAAGAAAAAGAAATTAATAAGTTAATTCCAATTTGTTATAGCTTTAGTTGTCAGTTTGACACACCTAGGTAGAGGGGGCCTCAATTGAGGAATTGTCTCAATTGGGCTGGCCTGTTGCCATGTTTGTGGGGCATTTTCTTGATTGTTGAGTGATATGGGAAGGCCCAGCCCACTGTGGGCAGTGCCACCCCTGAGCAAGAGGCTTCCAGATCGGTTCCAATTCCACTGTATAAGAAAGCAGGTTGAGGGCTGGAGAGATGGCTCAGCAGTTAAGAACACTGGTTGTTCTTGCAGAAAACCCGAGTTCAAATCCCAGAACCCACATGCAACTAACAACTGTCTGTAACTCCAGTCCCAGGGGATCCGACAGCCTCTTCTGACCTCCACGAGCACTGCATGACATGGGTGCACTCACCTATATGCAGGCAATACACGCATACACATAAAATAAAAATAATAAATAAATAAAGCAGGTTGAGCCCAGGTTGGTGGAAAAGCCAGTAAAGAGCATTCCTCCATGGTCTGTGCTTCAGCTTCTGCCTTCAGGTTCCTGCTCTGAGTTCCTGCCTTGGGCTCCCC